GTTAGTGAGAGACTGACCAGCTCTAGAGGTGCCGCTTAGAGAAATGGAAGATAATGCTGTGTTGTAAATAAAAAAGAAGCTTTTTCTTAGACTGTATCCTCTGTACCTTGATTCTTCAGGACTAAGTAGATAAAGCTCAAGTAACGTAATTTGAAAAAAACCTTTGGAGATCGTCTCCAGAAGTTGAATTTGAAAAGAAGAAAAAATATATAGTAAAGCTGGGGTAGCTGGAAGGGATGCCATGCACAAGACAGTGGGATAGTGATAAAAAAACTGATGGGGAGAGAGTAGGCAATGGTACAGTGGTGAGCAACTCTTGAAATATAATTAAAAGCAGTCAGTAGCTTGCAGTACAGATACTTCTGGGAGGTCTTCCTGTTTTTCTTGCATTTTTCAGTCAACAGTCAAAAATTTGGACCTGCGCTTTTTTTTTTGTATTTGCATGCATCTGATTTGAAACCAAATGTGAACTTTTCCATCAACATTCCTGTAGGGATAGTCAGGAAGCTGTAGATTTTGGGCCTAGAGAAGTCCTATCTGAACTATACTGATCTTTGTGCTAATATGAACAAACAAATGTATTTTTTTCCCTATTCTATTTCCATTGTATTTATGTCTTTCAATCAAAAGTGTTTTCATTTGGTGCACTTTCAACTGTGGGAGTAAGAAGCAGGAAGGACTAAGTACTTGGGTGATGGTTTCTGTGTAGACAAACTCCTTCCCCCCACCCCAGTAAAAACACAGTTGTTGATAGCTACTGGGGAAGTTTTTGCCATACCTTGTTGGTGAAAATGTGAAGGTTGAAAGGAACAAAAGTAAAAATGTTTGCTCTTGGCAGCTGAATGAGGTTGTGTTGGTTAACTTCACGTTCAATATACCTATGCCAGGAGGCTGTGGGCCAAGTGTCTTATTTTAGGAGTCATCCTGCTGTAGTGAGTTGACAGTAATGTGAAATAATTAGTGGTTGTAGTATATGCTCTATGCAATACAGCAGCTTTAAAAAAATATAGTAGTACTTATGGTCTTTCTTGTCTCTAGTACTGATCTGATATAATAGCAGTGTAATTAAATAAGGTATTTCAGATAGTGTGTGAAAATCAGAACCTGAAGTATTTTAGCAGTTGCAGGGAGGGTAAAAAATATAACTCCAGACCAGTCTATGTTTGTACTATAGATAATGTTACAGTACTATAGATAATGTTACAGGTTTTTGACATCTATAAGCAATATGAAGATTCAGTAAGAAAAAGACTTTCTTTATACTGTTTGTACAATATGGTCTGTAGAAAAGGCAGGGCTAGTCTGTTAATGGTATTGCTAGATTATTATATAAGGGCACTGCCTCCAATACAGACAAATGATACACCCCAATGTCCTCATTATCCAGAGGAAATAAACCAGCATATCCAAGTATGCTAATTAACAAAGTTTTAGGAGTTAATTTTTGTGCACACAACATCCTTTCAATTCCTTAAACCAGCATATCCAAGTATGCTAATTAACAAAGTTTCAGGAGTTAATTTTTGTGCACAACATCCTTACAATACAAGGAACAATTTTGTTCTTTCCAGAACTGGAAAAGAAGTTTCTTCATAGAAACTTATTTCCACATCCCCTTTTCGGGCTACTCAGAAACCATCCTCTAAAACCAGTGTGCAGTGTTTGAAATCCAAAATAGCTGCAATTATCTAGAACAATTATCTTTCTCTGTTGTGTTTCTTTATAGAGGGAAAGTTTTTTCCTCACAGAGGAGATCTATCTTGCAATTTTTACACATCGCTGGCGCATTGAAAAGGAAATCTAGAGAGACACACTGTGTCTAGATGTCAAATGCCCTGTTGTTAGAAGAGACTTTGTCTTGGGCTAAAATGTTGAAGGTTTTGAAGATGCAGGAGAACATTCAATTAGAAGCCACCTGGGGTTCACCAGGTATTGAAATACAGTTGTGTTATACTGATAGCCTAAACATCAAATGCTGGATTTCTCTTCTTAATTCCTGTTGATGACAACTTTGCTCACTGGGATACCTTTTTGTGAAATTTAAAAGATATAGAGATGTTAGAATAAAATAGTCAATATAGGAAATACAATAATAGGATGGCCTTTGTGACTCATTTGCTTCCTTTGTTCATATGCATTCTAATGCAGTCTTTGTTTTTATAATTGGTTTCTTTTTCCAAGATGCCATTGCCTTAATTTCATGGTGTAGATGTGTTTCTAGGACTGAGTAAGGGCAGCATCTCTAGGACCATACCTGTGGCTGTTGGAGAAGCTGGAAGATGAGTGGGATGAATGATTGCAGAGACAAGTAGGATGAGTCTCATGGATACAGCAATTGAGTTCTGATAAGTTATTTTTCTGAACCTTATTTGGCCTCTTTAAATGTGTGTTCCACAGGCAGTCAATAATTCCAGGTTTTGCAGACAACCAGCTTAAGCCTTGTTAGGAAATTTTCTATGTATTTGCCTGGGTTTTAAAAGGCCTAAAAACTGGACACAGAAGTTTTATGTTGTAAGCTGTGGCCAAATCCCTCATGGTTCATTAGTATGACTGAACAGGTTAGATATAGTGCATAATCCTTTGTCATTTTACCAGGAGAGGAGCTGGAAGCAGTACTGTGTGTGTCGTCATCTATGTGTGCCAGCAGAAGTAGTAGGGAACCACTCTTCATTGGTTTGCGTAGGATGGAAGAATCAGGAGACTTGAGAATGTGCTTCTGTTTTAGCACCGAGCTGAGGCAGTTGCAGATGCCTTTGAGAGTTCTACATCTGTTATTTGGCATTTTTTAAAGTCACCTTTCTTGCCCTAACCTGCCTCATCTTGGCATCACATGCTAGTCCAAACCTCCCAATGGGTCAGATACCACTCATTTCTCTGTCTTGTTCTTTCTTCATGGACTTTTTTTCTGGGCTATTATCTTTTCCCCTGCCACATCTTGTTTTTCAGTTTTTTTCCAAGCTCTTTGTCTGAGGCTTTTTGCCATGTGAATCCTTTGTTGCCTTCTGGTCCGGTCAGAACTGTGTTCAGTATTTTGTACTGCCTGTTTTCTGTTGGTAGACAATTAGTTGCTGGTAATGTCTTTCAGGCTACTATTCCTGCACTGGTGCCTCTTGGGACAAATGGCTTCCCTCTTCCCAGGTACATGGAGTCACTAACAGCATCCAAGGGAAGAGAGATGGGACACACAGAATCTATTTCTCCATACTCAGTTCCTGTACTGCCTGTTGTGTTTAAAAAGAATCTGCAAAAGGTCTCGTTTGCCTGTTCCTACTGGAATGTGCTTGAGTGGCTGGAGAGGCTGGCTCAGTCTCAAACCTGTCCGTGAGTAAGATCTCTCAGTGGGTGGTAGCACGTATGGCACAGATGGTGTCTTCAGAAATGTAGGTGCTAGATCCTAACAAGATTCAGCGAGCACGTGCTTGTTGTTCTTCTCCCCCCACGCCCATTTTGGTGTTTTTGTCTTGACACAGGGGAAGAAAACCCCACCACCAAACAAAAAAACTGAGGTTTTTTCATAGGCTTCCTACTTGAGTCTTCTTTCAAAAATATCAGGCAATTGTGCCTTCTCATCAAAGTGTAAGTCAATTTACTTCACTGAAGCACCAGACTTCTGCAAAAATTCAGCTTGGGGGCAAGCATGTAGCATTGCACCCTGTAAGTTAAAATACATGAAGTTTGGCAGTGTTTAAAGAATTTGAAGTCAGAAATGTATAAGAAAAGAGGTTTGAATAAAAACAATAGTACCAGTTAAATTTTTAATTTAGAAAAAAAGGTTTTCTGAAAAGTGTTTCTTGGTTAAAGTTTTTTTTAAATATATATGTATGTGTGTGTGTATATATATATGCAGTATTAGTAATTAGTTTTGTTATGAATTAGATTGTGTTTTTTCTGGAGAATTCTGTGTGTGAAGTATTTTTATATCCTTAGTTACAAAAACTGTTTGCAACTCTCTTTGTCTTGACTTCTTCAGTCCAGCTGTATCACAACAAATGTTGTTAACCATAAATGTCAGCTGTTTTTTATTACTCATCTCCGTGACCTGAGTTTCTGTATACTGTCCTGTTATTCACCTGTACAAAATAAGTGTGTTGCTCTGAATTTGTAATATGTTGTGCTTATTTTGCATGACATTTGGGGCCTTTCTGTCAGGCCTCTAATGTTGCCGTGGGCTTTGTTTTCCAGTTCTGTACAAAATGTCTTCATCGTGATCTGTATTGCATTAGGTTGTTTCTGACAACATAATGGGTTCACAGGTGAAATACTGGGATTTTTTAATGAACTTTTCTAGTTGGTAGTTTACTGTATCAATGCCTTCCTAGCCTTATGGTTGTGTATTGTATTCTAGGTGGTTTTATGTACTTGAACTTTCATGTATTGATAGGCTTAGTAGGGAAAAAAATACCAGTGAGTATAAACAGCCTCTGAGCATCCAGTCTGCAGGGTAGATTACAAATCTTACTCTATTTGTTCCACTTCTTGAAGGTGAGCTGATATGCCATGGTTAACATTTCCTATGCAAGTGATGAGCCACTGAAAGGCTGAGTGTTGCTGACTTACAGAGGCGGGGTAACTTGGAATATTCAGCTGGAAAAGGAGCAGGAGTGGTAACAAGCAGCAATAGTGGTAGTAAAGGCAGGAGCAGGTTCCACAGCAGAGTTCCCAGTGTGAGTCAGTGAATGCACAGCATACCAGCTAGCTGGCAGGAGGAACCCAAACCCGACTCTTGCAAGAGAGTCAGGGTTCATGTTTATCATGCAAAGTCATGTGGTCTTACCATATCTTAACTTGCCAACTTAGCCTTAGCCTAGGGAAGATCCTTTGCTGCAGCGCTTAACAAAAAAAAAAAAAAAAAAAGGAGAGAGAGGGAGAAAAAAACAGAAAGAAAAATAAAGAAAATTGTGCAATGTTTGTTTATGCCTTCATCATGCCGAGGAGACACTTGACAGTAAATAACCTGTGTATACCTGAGGTAAGATACTGTTTCTGCTTTCCCTGCACAGTGCTGCTGCAGCACGGAGCTGATCCAAACATTCGGAACACCGATGGGAAATCTGCACTGGATCTGGCAGACCCTTCAGCTAAAGCTGTACTCACGGGTAAGATGCATACATCTCTCAGCACTGTAACCTGAGTTTATTTTGTGTGTATAAGTTCAGCATCAGAAAAGCCTTCTGCCTTTCCAGATTTTCTGTTGTGTAAGAGCATTTAAAAAACTGTCTTTTACCAGGTTTATGTTGATGTAATTGTTATTAATCTGCTGTGCTGCTCTAGGTTTGCTTATTCTACTTATGCTAATGCTGTAATTTTCTGTTACCATATCATCTGTTATTTACTCTATTTCTCCGGATTTTTTCTTTTAAATTGATACCCAATAGACAGATTGAACAGGATGCCTTAGCCCCTGAAAAAAAATAGGAAAAAAATCAGCTCAGTTGTTTTAAGACCTTCACTGTTAGGCAAGCAAGGACGTTTGTGTAACTATAAAAGTACCTGTGATCTGAAAGACAACCTGCTACTGATTGCGGAGATCAATACTTATGTTAGATTTTGCTGCAGATTCACATGCTGTGCTTTCCTTCCTCTTCCTTGTTAGTCATTTTGGGTTGAACCCTTTCTCATCTACCAGCTTTTTCCTTCTTTAGGGGCTGTTAGCTGCAAAACAATGTCTCATGAAAATATCCTACAGATATAACTTTGTTTTTACAGAGCTTTGATTTTTTAATAAATTAACTGTTGCGGCATACCAGTGAGCATGAAAAGTATAATATAGTTGCCTGTCAAATTGGTATCAAGAAATACATGGCCCTCTGTGCTGATTTTGTCATCTAGGAAATAAAACAAAGTAATATTGGATTTTAAAATATATACAATTAGATTTATAGAAAGGAATTCAGCAGTTGAGGTTCATTTGAAGGAATAGCTGTTTTTCTTTTGCCTTTATTTTCCCTATTCTCTCTCTCTTTTTATTGACAGCCTAATTTATGGGTTATGTGCTATAAAACACCCATATTCTTTCTTCAGATTATGTTCAGAGCACACCAGCTCCCTTCACTTTGTCAAGAACATTTCCTCATCGTCTTTCTTCAGTGTGCTGAGTGCTATACATAATTATCTACAGCGCTGCAGTGATTTGAGAGTGCCTTTGGAACAGTGCACTTTAAATACATATGATTTACTTTAATTACTCTGTGTCAAATTTAAACATGTTCCTACAGTGTTAACACTAATGTTAGCTGTGCTAAGCAGGTTAATCTGACTTTTGGCTGTTAATGGGTACAGTTGTGCAGATGCTGAAGATAGAGGGGGCAACAGGGAGTCAGTGTACCTCAGAAGTGTTAAAGGATATATGCTATTTACTTGTAGGCAACTTGACACACCTACAGTGTGGGGGTTACAAGCCCCAAGCTGCTCTTCAGGCTATGCATCTTCAGAGGATAGTAGAAGATTAGGAAAGTGTGTGACCTCATGTCTGCTCCACTGATTTCTCTGGGCACTGGATCACCTTGTGCTTTAGGCAGAGGGGAGAGGGCCATGTGTCATAGCAGACGAGTGGAGATGAATTTGAAGCAGCCCTCTGAGAACATGCTGTGAAATGAAGCCAACCCCTGTCTCTGGGCTCACCCCTAGTGCCTCACACACAACATCCATGACTGAAGCGGTCTGCAGCTAATGAATGTTACCAGGTTGTGCATGGAGGCACACGTGGTGCTATAAACGTGTTTAGTTGTTCATAAGAAAGCATCATTTTTGTATGTGTTTGTTCTTCCCAGCAAGAAAATCAGCTTTTGTTTTATCAGCTTTGTCCTCAAGGTGGCTCTTGGCTACGCAGGGCTCTGTGCTGTGTACCTGAGTTCCAGGCTGTGCAGACAGGGCTGTAGCTGCCGTGAGATGCACAAAAACTGAAAAACCTAACACTGGAGATGTCATTTCAATGGAGGCTAGCTATTAAGAGCTGTATTTTTCTGGGTGTTGCCCTGTTTTATACTATCTCTGTTAGGCTGCTATTTCTCATGCATTTTCCATACGTTGTTACTTTCAGGTCTTGCTTCATCCCTCTGGAAGAAGGAGGCTTAAGGGATTTCTTAGGATCTATCTGACTGGGGATAATCTTTAGCTACAGCAATGCTTTGCAATTAGGTGCATCAGAACTTAAAGGTATTACTGGATTAAGGATGAGGAGGATATATTAACTTGATTTTCAATATTTAGTATTGAATGATGGGGTTGTAGGAATGCTCATATTTAGAGTTTTTGAGAATGGAGCACAGTCCATAATTTGTTACTGTATTTGCATCTTTCAGCAGCATGTATGTCAAGGCTGCTCTCATTGTTATTTTTGATTACTTTTTCTATCTGTGTTTATCATAGAATGTCCTGGGTTGGAAGGGACCTTAAAGACCATCTAGTTCCAACCCCCCTTCTGTGGACAAGAGGCACCTTTAATTAAGTCAGGTTGCCCAGAGCTCCATCCAATCTGGCCTTAAACACTTCCAGGGATGGGGCATCCACAACTTCTCTGGGCAGCTTGTTCCAGTTTCACAGTAAAGAATTTCTTCTTAACATCCAACTTAAACCTACCATCTTTCAGTTTGAATCTATTTCCCCTTGTCCTATGCCTACTCTCTCTTGTAAGAAGTCTCTCACCATCTTTCTTGTAGGGAGCCTACATCTTTCTTGTAGGCTCCCTTCAGATACTAGAGGTGCGTAATTAAGTCACCCCAAAACCTTCTTTTCTCCAGGGTGAACTGTTGCAGTTCTTTCAGCCTTTCCTCATGGGAATCATGATAGATTATATGACCATAATAGACTTTTCCACATTGCTGCTGTATTGATTGTTGAAGAACATGGGCTCTTCTTAAAGCTTTTTTAACCAAGTATTTGCATAGGTTTATGCATCTGTTTTGCTTTGTGAATGAACTGTGATTACAGTGTCCCTTTGACCTCCAACACAGCAAAAGTAAACAGAAAACTGATTGGTAATTTATTAAACCTTTTCAATTTGACAGAGAATTCTGTATGTGTTTTAAAAGGGAAATTCCTGCTGCATAAAAAGCATTTCTGCTGTTCTGGCAGCAAATGCTCAATCCACAATGACTTGTTCTTTTCTGTCTTCCAGACTAGAATAATGTATACTCTCCTTTTCACCTAGATAGCAGAAAGGACATGTAATGCAGTAGTTTCTGGCACGACTTCCAGCCATTTTCCTGCAACACCCTCTAAAATATGTGTCTTATAAGGATACATAATGCAGATGAAAGTCTAATATTTTGATGGAAATGAACTTTGGAAACTTCTTTGTCAAATAAAGGGAATGATATAGAAATTAAAGACCCAGTACCATCTTCTTCTTCAAAAGAAGTTACATAATTGAGGAATCTGCTTTTTCTACCTAGAAAGTAGCCTCTTTTCCTCCTTTTGCAAGATAGGCAGCATTTGTGTGAACCAAGCACTTCATGTTTGAGAGGGTGAATATTTTGTTTCTTCTTAGTTAGCATCCTATACTGTTCCTGAATCATGTTGTCAGGGAAAGGATTGTAATCCTCTTTTTCTCTAGGCTGAAGTGGTACTACAGGCTCCAAAAACATATAATGTCTAAGAACTTTTAAATACACCAGATTAATATCCTAGTTTATTTTTTTTTAGTTTAATTGTCTTTGGGATGTGTGGTTTCTGAGATGGGAACTCATTTTTGTTGCCATACATAGCAGTGTGGCACTCCCATCCAAAACAGGGCCTTTGGGAGCTTTTGCACTGCTAGTCATATTAGTCCTCATTTTTTTCTTACCCTGATTATTGCCTCTTTAAAGATTAGCATCTTTTTATATCTTCCCTGTACAGTATATGACAAGCCAACACTATTGTTAATTATGTGAATGATATTTTTGTTTGTTTTTTTTTTTTTTTCACACAGTGATGCTTTCTTGCCACTTATCCCTCATATTATCTGCTATTCAGAAATGCTTTCTTTATGTGAATAGTTGTTCTTTGTACTTGAGCAGTTTCCAAAGGAGCTGTTAGCAAGAGCTGAAGGCATTTTTGTTGGATAATATATTTTTATCTGCTTCCTGCCAGTGTTTTGTGGGGTTGGTTTTTGTTGGTTTCAAGGATTACTCCTTTGAAAAAGTCTGAAAACTGCTGCATCTCTAGATTACAGGAAGATTTCTTAGGCATGAAATAATGTCTTATTTGTTAATGGAATCAATTTTCAAAGTTAAACAAGACTCTGATCTGCCTGCTTACTATGGAAATAATGTCTTTTACAAGCAAAGTGCTTTAGGTCCTATTGAGCATTTCTCACTTGAGTTTTTTGGAGGGGAAGGACAGCTTGATGGGTGAAAGTATAGCTGGACTAAGGTTACTAGAGGTGTTAATGAGGATTCATGTTTTCATCTATTTGTCATGTCAACTTTTGAATTTAAGCAGGAAGCATAGTTCATGTATAGAAATATATTTGCAGAATTCTTTTTGAAGTGAACTGCCATTTATGCATAATTTGCCTGCAAGGAAGAGAAAAATCTGATATTCCATTACAATAAGCTTACTGAAGTTCAGAGAATGGAAAATGGATTTTAGGTACAACTTACCCATTTTAAAAACACCAGTAAGAAGAAATTTTAGTTTGTTAATTTTCTTTTTCCTGTGGCACCTTTACAGCTTGACTGTCTGAAATCCTGAACTATTTCCTTTTGGGTTGGTGTTGCTTCCTTCTAGGTGCTCTTAGGAAATTGAAGGCCTTCTGGAGGGGCAGTAGCACTTCATTTTGGGAGATGCTAACCTCCTCCAGCTTCCCTTTAATTGATCTAATTCTTACATAGTGTGTACTGAATCAGATCATTTGGACAAGCTTCTGTCTTTACAAAACTGTATAATAAACATCAGTACAAAAGAAAAAGTGATTTCATGGTAAGGAGGGCAGGTGCTGCTGGAATGGTTTGGGCCACCCAGTTGTCCAGGCCATTGTCCTCTCTGGCAGTAACACTGGATCTGCTGCCTTACAGAAAAAAGCAAGAAATCCCTCAGCTGAGGAATATTGTGGACCTGCAGAAAGCATTCCCCTTATTTCATATAAGCTGTCGATACACATCTTGAAGCAAGA